TGATGCTTTTGGAGGCTTTTGGATGGAGATGTCTATTGAAAATTTGGGGATTTCCATTGAGATTTGATGCTTTTGGATGTTTTTTTCATTGTGTGTGTGCTTTGCTGGCTAGTGTTTGCCTCTTCCCCACCCCCCTGTCCTGAAAGGTGCTCCCAATTCTTTGGAAGATCTGGTCCTGGAACAAGGCTCTTTGAATGCGCCTCTTTGCTCCAATAGTACTTCAAAGCCTTGCCTGGGTGACACTCCAAGCATCCACTGTTCCATCTGCACTTGGAACAGATGTTTCCCTTTGAAAGGGTGCCTTCAATCTTGTACCTTGAAGCCTCACTCAGCTGTTGCAGCTTGAAGTACTTGCTATTGGCTTCAAGCATCTGCTGGGCTTTAATGGCTGCAGCACTGGTATGGCTCTTCAATTTGGAAAGCTGCTGCAAGGCTTTCTCCTTGGCTTTCTCTTGCTGGACTGAAATTTTCTCTGCCTTCTCTTCAAGTTCCTTCTTGCTTTCTTCAAGCTTTTGCTTCTCTGCTGAAAGCTGGTGCCACCAAGCTACAAACTTCATCCTCAAGAAGTTAATGTTTGGGTGTCCTCTGGAAGCCAAGCCTTCAAACAAGCTGCAAGCCTCTTCCATCATGTATGCAAGAGTCCAAAGCCCACATGTGCTTCCAACTTGCTGGAAAGAGTTGTAAATCTTCAAAGAAACCTCTTCCTTCTGCAAAAGGCTGGCTATACTGCAAGCCTTCTTCAAGGAATCTTCTACTGGGTCTGCCAAGGTATCCCTGTACCTAAAAGACCACTTCCCTTCAACCCTCTCAGCTGTAAGCAGAGTCCAATGACAAATTGTCTTTGCACTCCAAATTGGACAAAGAAGCACCCGCGAATCTGATTCCCCAAAGTCTTGAATGGTCTTCTTCAACAGCTCTCTTTGTGGAACATCCTCATCTCTCAAATACATTGTTGTCAAATAAGGGTCTATGAAGGCCACCTCCTTCAAGTAGTCCTTGAACTGCCACCTCAAAAGCTCAAAGCCAAGCAGCATATGCTGAGAATCAAAGTTCTCATCCTGACTTGGAAGGTCCATCAAATCATCACCCGCGCTTGCAAAGGGCTCTGGCTTCAAGCCAATCATGTAAAGGGCTTCACCTTTACTTTTTCTAGAAAGCTTGCTGAAAGGCTGCCACTCCTTCACTGGAAGCCATGTGTCTTGCTTGACAAGAAGACTTGAAACCTTGCAAGTCACAACTGTGTGCTTGTCTCCAATGAGCTGGCAAAACTCACCCCCATCTTTCTCCAAGCTCTTCACTTCAACCATCCCTTCTTTCCCATACTTCCCTTTCCCTTCACTCTCTGAAACAATTCTACAATGAACTGTCTCCCCAGAAGCTTCAACAACTGCATCCAGCTCTGTCTTCTTCTTCAAATCCTTCAAGGCTGCTGGAATGCTCTTGTCTGCCTCCTGCTTTGCCTTGCTTTTCTTGAGACTTTTCAAAGCTGCTTTCTTGAAAATGGATGGCTTTGTCTTTGCACCAGGCTTGAAGATGGCTGAAATCTTCTTCTTGCTTGCATTGCTCTTGGCAACCACCTGTTCAATTGCTTCCTTCTTGCTCATTCCTTTAAGCTTCTCTCTAAGAGCCTTCAACAAACCAGGCCTCAAACTTGCCCTTTGCTGGAGTCTTGCAGCTTTTTCCTTGGACTTCTCAAGTACTTCTGAAAACTTTGCATCTTTCTGAGCTAAAAAAGCTGCTTTCCTCACCTTTGGGTGAAGCCTCAAAAACAAGGAATTCTTCAAACCAAACCCCAGAGACTCTTCAATGGAATCATCAATGTCTAGGGGGTTCTCTTCCTCATCTTCAAGGGCTGGGTTTGTGTAAGCAGCCCAGTCTAGAAGGTTCTGAACATTGGTTGCTGCCTGGCTCAAAGAGAACTCTGGCGCCATTGGAATGCCAGCCTGCAACCAGCCCTTTCTGGGAACCAACCATTCACTTGGAATCCTGTGGCTCCCAAGCTCCAACTGTTCAAGACCACAATCCTTTGCTTCAAGTGGCTGCAAAGTACCATTGTTGAAGTCTGGCCTATAAATGACAAGTGCATTTCTGAAGGCTCCTCTAATCACCCATGAAGTCTCCAAGTTTCTCTTGACTGCAGCCTCCTGGGCTTGAAGGGTGGCTTCAATCACTGTCCTGTAGGAAATCTTGAAAGTGCCCTCCTTGCCTTCAAGCCTGTGAGAACTCCTCTTCTCTGCAAGAGCCTTTCTGAAATCAGCCTTGAAGGCTCTGGCAAAATCTGTGTCTGTCAGCTGCAACCTTTGGGTTGCCTTGCCTAAAAGAATTGCTGACAGTTGGTTTCCAAGGGCCTGGGTTTCTCTAATCTCCTCTGAAAAAATGGCTGCAAAGCTATCTCTAATCCAGACTGCAAGTGGTTCTTTTTCAATCTGGTCTTCAATCACCCACTTCAAAAGAACACTGTCAAGGTTGCAGGAAGGCTGACTCATAATGTCCAGCTTGCCTTCAAATAGCTCAGGAGCTTCCTTCCTCAAATCAACAGCCCACTTCAATGCCTTTGAAGCCTCACCTGCCTTGTGAACAATCTTGCAACCTGCAACTTCAAACTCTTCACTTTTAATCCACCTGCCATTGCTGTCAAGGTTTGACAGCCTTGCATGCACCCCTGGAAAAACCAGTAGTCCAGCAGCAACCTCCCCTCTAACACCATCACTCCCAACTGGCAAGCCTACAATTCTTTGGCGCGCCTCATAAGTGATTCTGAACTTGGAATTCTCTGCAACCCCCTTGGCAGTCAAACTTCCTGCAATCCTCCTGCCACCTGCAAACTTTTCTGTGCCTTCCAAGGTCACCACCTGGCTGGAAGCATCTTCTGGCTTGAAGAAATCAACAGCTTGAAGCAGGTCTTTCCTGAACAGATCAAACTGCTTCCTGTCTGCAACTGTGATGCCTGAAAGTTCTTCGCTAGAAGCCACCATCTTTGAACTCTCAGCTTTGGCCCAAAGTGGGACCTGGTCTGAAAAGCCAATGGTCAGCAATTCCCTAACTCCAGGCTTCAACACATCCTTGGGCTCTGCAAAGAGATCAGACTTCAAGAGGTCTGCCTCAGGGGCTGCACCTGCAAGCCACACCATTCTGTCAATGGCTTGCCAAGACAATTGAACACGCGTTTTCTCTTCAAGTGCACTCAAAGGGCTTACCAACTCCTTGCCAACTTCCTTTGCACCACAGTACTCTAAAAGCCTGCTGGAGAAAGACTGCCTGTACTTCTTGCTGGCTAGAAGCTTGTCCCTTCTGGCAAAGCAGGCCTTGGCTTCAAGGTTCCAAGACTTCTTCTGGCCCTCACTCTTTGAAAGCTCTGCTTGCTTCAAACATTCTTGGGCTGAAGAAATCAGTTGTGCTAGAAACTCATCCAGAAGGTCACCCTTTGCAAGCACAACTCCATTGGACCTCTCCTTCGAAACCATTTCTTTGACCTTGTCAATCTCCTTCTGAAACTCCAACTTTCTGCCTGCGCCCTTTGCCCTGACAAACCTTGACCCTACAACTCTGCCTCTCTTTGTCTTCAACTTTGACCTTTGACCTTCAAACTCTTTCTTTTTGGACATGAGGTGCTTCAAGGTCCTGGTGTCTAGGCCATATCTGGACCTGCCTTTCTTGAAGAGCTCTCTGCTGTTGGAAGATTCCTTTTGCATATGCTCCAAGTCCTCTGCAATCTTGACTTTCTCTACAACTGAGAACTCCTTTCTCTTTGAAGGCATCCCAGCTCTTCTCCTGTTACTCTTCAATCCAGCAGTGCTGTACTCTTCAACATGTGGTCTACCTCCAAGTTTTCCTAGCTCAGCAGCACTTGGAACAATAGCCTTCTCTGCCTCTAAA